AGCTTTATACATCATTAGTAAGGCCTCACCTAGATTATGCAGCTCAGTTCTGGTCTCCATATTACAGAATGGACATAAATTCGTTAGAAAACATTCAGCGTAGGATGACTAAATTAATACATAGCATTAGAAACCTTCCTTATGAAGAAAGATTGAAGACTCTTAAGTTACATTCACTTGTTAGACGAAGAATGAGGGGAGACCTGATCGAAGTGTATAAGTGGAAGATAGGTATTAATAAAGGGGATATTAATAAGGTCTTGAGGATGTCTCTCTAAGAGAGAACCCGCAGTAATGGATTTAAATTAGATAAGTTTAGATTTAGAAAGGACATAGGAAAGTATTGGTTTGGAAATAGGGTAGTTGATGAGTGGAACAGTCTACCTAGTTGGGTTATTGAGGCTAGGACTTTGTGTAGTTTCAAATCTAGGTTGGATAAGTACATGAGTGGGAGGGGTTGTATTTGAGTGGGACTTTCACATCAGAGCTTATTTCTTGGGTGGCATAGAAAACTGGGTTGGGCAAATGTTTTGTTAGTGGGATGAATTGTAAAGGACCTGCCTAGTATGGGCCAACAGGCCTCCTGCAGTGTTCCTCCTTTCTTATGTTCTTATGTTCTTATGTTCTTATGTAACTAAGAGTTCACCGAGATGTAACACAAACCTAAGTTGTTGTTGTTCCAGACAGAAACAGCAAAAAGGGAACCAAAAGCTAAAAAAAAAAAAAAAACATTGAGGATATTGCAAGAAATTACATATTTCTTTACATCTGCTAGACTCTAGCTAAGAACTACCTGTAAAACTGGACTTTTAATCACAGGAAGCTCATACACGGACGATGAGCATGAAATGAGCGAAATACTAAAAGATTAACACTAATACTAAAAGATTAACACTAGCTGATGTTCAACAACCAACTACACGAAGCAGCCTGGAGAATATTGACACTTTTTTCACTTCATCTGAAGCCCAAACAGACTAAATAACTGACAATAGCAATGGTCTCTTAAAATTCAGTAAAAGAGAGAAAATATGGCCTCTCACTCATCCACATTCGTGGATGTCCTTATTTATAAAAAAAAGTGCAAGGTACCAGTAGCACAAGCACTTAGTATCATCGGAGAAAGGACCTTAAGAGTACGAATATAGCTCCTTTGCATAAGAGAGGCAGTAGAGCATTAGTCAAAAATTACCGACCAGTAGCCTTAACATCCCGTATCATAAAAGTCTTTAAAAGAGTGATGAAACGCTAAATTATAAATTTTATAGAACAACGCAATCTGCACAACCCACACCAACATAGCTTTTGAGCTGAGATGTCTTGCTTGTCTCAACTGCTAAATCGCTATGATAGAATTACCGTGGCGTTGTAAGAAAACCAAAACGCAGATGTGGTATACATGGTTTTTCTAAAGTCGTTTCACAAACGTGATCATGGGATGACTGCACACAAAATGTGAGCCAAAGGTCTAGTGGGGAAGGTACGCAGATGGATTTTTAACTTTCTGAAAGATGGAATAAAAATAGTGGTAGTAAACAGACCAAAATCCAGCATTAGCGAGGCAAAACTCTCAGTACAAACAGACACGGTCCTGACGCCTCTATTATTTCTTATCCTCATAGGAGAGATAGATAAAAACACTCGCCATAGTTTTGGACCATCATTTGTGGACACCAAAGTAAGCATGAAAATCACCTTCATAGATAGACACAAAAAAATGACAAGAAGATATAAGTAGGGTTTTCCAGTGGGCAGTGACAAGCAATTTGACAGTTATCAAATAGCACGAAAAGAACACGTGAAAGATCTGGGAGTAATTATGTAGGCTGACTTTTCTTTCAAAGAATACTATAGGGTAACTGTCACAACACGTAAAATGATAGGGCGGATAATGAGAACATTCAAAACAAGGAATAGTGCAAGTGATGACACTATTGAAATCGCTTGTGGTCTCTCGTTTAAAACATTGTTGAGTATCGAGAGCTCTATTCCAGGCAGGAGAAATATCAGTACTGGGACAGATGCAGAAATCATTTACGGCTCACATAAAGCCAATAAAGGATTTAAATTATGTATTCACTGGAGCGGAGGAAAGATAGATACATGATAATGTATACGTGGAAATCATTTAAGGCCTTATTTTCAAAACTGCACACAGCCATAACAACATAGTGTGAGAGATATTGAAGTGTAAAATAAACCTAGTGAAGAGAAGGGTCGCCGTGAGTACAATAAGAGAACATTCTATCAATATTCTTTCCCCAGGGCTGTTCAGCATCTTATCAGAAGTTATCAGAAACAATACTGGGACAATTGTAAATGTTTACAAAACGAAACTGGCCAAATATCTCTAACAAGTGCCAGATCAAATAGGCTGTGATAGATATATGGGTCAGTGGACCAACAACAGCAACTGCCTGGTTGACCAGGGAAGCGCCCGACGAGCCTGTTCGAAGGCCGAGCTTCGAGAGTAGAGAAACTATCGAAACTCATCAAAGGTATAACAGAGAGTGAAAAAGATTTTGAAGGTGAGTGCACTCCTGTGAGGGTAAGTAGTGGATGAGGAAGATAAAGCAGATAACAGAAGGAGATGGGGGAAGTGGGGTGTGTGTCTGAAGTGGAAATGAGACTGGGGTAGGTGAGTAAGTCATATGGGGAGGGTGAGTTAGGTGGGGAGGGTGTGGTAGGAAGAGTAAGTTAGGCGGGGAGGGTGTGAGGTGGGCAGGGTGAGTGAGGTGAGCAGGGTAAGGTGGGGAGGGTGAGTAAGGTGGGGAGGGTGAGTAAGATGGGAGGATGAGTGAGGTGGGTAGGGTGAGTGAGGTGGGAAGGGTGAGTAAGGTGGGGAGGGTGAGTAAGATGGGGAGGGTGTGTGTGGTGGGGAGGGTGAGCGAGTTGGGCAAGGTGAGTGAGGTGGGAAGGGTGAATAAGATGGGAAGGGTGCTTGAGGTGGGCAGGGTGAGTGAGTTGGGCAGGGTGAGTGAGGTGGGGAGAGTGAGTGTGATGGGGAAGGTGAGTGAGTTGGGCAGGGTGAGTGAGGTGGGGAGGGTGAGTTAGGTGGGTAGGGTATGGTAGGGAGAGTTAGTTAGGTGGGGAGGGTGAGTGAGGTGGGGAGGGTGAGTGAGGTGGGCAGGATGAGTGAGGGGGGAGGGTGAATAAGATGGGAAGGGTGCTTGAGGTAGGCAGGGTGAGTGAGTTGGGCAGGGTGAGTGAGGTGGGAAGGGTGAGTAAGGTGGGGAAGGTGAGTAAGATGGGGAGGGTAAGTGAGTTGGGCAGGGTGAGTGAGGTGGGGAGAGTGAGTGTGATGGGGAAGGTGAGTGAGTTGGGCAGGGTGAGTGAGGTGGGGAGGGTGAGTTAGGTGGGGAGGGTGAGTGAGGTAGGGAGGGTGAGTGAGGTGGGGAGGGTGAGTGAGGTGGGGAGGGTGAATAAGATGGGAAGGGTGCTTGAGGTGGGCAGGGTGAGTGATTTGGGCAGGGTGAGTGAGGTAGGAAGGGTGAGTAAGGTGGGGAAGGTGAGTAAGATGGGGAGGGTGAGTGAGTTGGACAGGGTCAGTGAGGTGGGAAGGGTGAGTAAGGTTGGGAGGGTGAGTGTGATGGGGAAGGTGTGTGAGTTGGGCAGGGTGAGTGATTTGGGGAGGGTGAGTAAGCGGAGAGGGTGAGTGATGTGGGGAGGGTGAGTAAGCGGAGAGGGTGAGTGATGTGGGGAGGGTGAGTAAGCGGGGAGGGTGAGTGATGTGGGGAGGGTGAGTAAGCGGGGAGGGTGAGTGATGTGGGGAGGGTGAGTAAGCGGGGAGGGTGAGTGATGTGGGGAGGATGAGTAAGCGGGGAGGGTGAGTGAGATAAATGAAGATTGAAGGGGTATTAACAAACTTTTGCTACATACGTTAACACTACATTCTGCCATACCTCTTCAACCTCCTTCTCATTACCGACACTCTCAATAGTCTATCTTTCTCCCAAAATTTGTTTATATCTTATTCAACCTCCTCCTTTAATTTACAAACTTTCCTTTTTCTCTTGCTCGCCGATGCCATTCTTCTTGTACGCCATCTACCTTTTACTATCACTGTAGCTACAACTAAATAATGATCTGTTATATCTGTTGACCCTCTACAAACATGCACATCCTGAAGTCTACCCATCAATTCCTTTATCCACCAATACATAGTCGGGCAAATTGCAGTCTTGTATTTATTTATCCCCTTTTTCTTAAAATGAGTATTACCTATTACCAAACTTCTTTCAATACAAAGTTCAGTATATAAGCTCGCCATTATCCGGGCACCTCAAAGTTCCCTACTACACCCTCTGCAACAGTTACCAGCATTCCACCACTGTTACTATCCTAATTGGTTCAAATCTTCCTAAGCATTCGCTTTTCACCTATCAGAACGTGTCTCTCTCCTCCACATTCCTCTCTTCTCCAAGTTCATAAACAATTAGTATAATCCACTTTTTGACTTATTTTAATCCACATAATCCTTGAATCTATACATTTATATTTCATCAGTTCCCATCGTAACTTACCACTCACTTCCATAGCTCAAACTCTCTCAGATACTCCTAACCTAACCCCATTTATTTCTCCCCACTGACACTTCCCTACCCACTTCAACTCTGTTTCTCTTAGAGTCAGGACAACCAGCTTCTTTTCATTCATAGCATTCACAATAATATCTTTCTTATCATTTGCAATACTACGAAGATTCAAACATCCCAACTTTATAAAGTTTTCCTCTTTTTACATTCAGTAATTAATGCTAGAGTAAGGGTTACTAGCCCCTTGCTACCGGCATATTAGTCTCCTCTGTCGACACGCATGGCTTATTGAGGAAGGATTCTTCTCCACTTCCCAAACATACTCACTCATATATACAATACATGTGTTCTCATGTGTGTGTATGTGAAGGTGCAGTCGTCTCTGTATGTTGACTTCCACAGCTGTAGAAAACCGAGAATACGGTGATTTCTTTACCTTTCCAACGAAATTTGTTTTTGTGGCAGGTGGTGAGCACAAGGACAACGTTACCCACTACCTGCTGAGGGAAGTTAAAGACGCTATTCGGGGACAAACAGACATACAACAGCAACAGTGGAATAAAATACAAGAACTAGAAGGTAAACTTCAGAAATATGAAGAGATACGACAACAGCAACAGATGAGAATTCAACAACATGAAGATTCTCTGAAGGAAAAAGAAGACACAATACGTGTACTGGAGGACAATCTTCGTCAAACTGAGGAAGCAGCAGCAGGACAATACAGGAAACTTGAAGTAAATCTGACCAAATTACTGTCGGAAATGGACCACTTGGCACAATATAATGAAGAAGTTACCAAAATGAACACTCAGCTACGTGACAACAACACACTACTGAAAAATTTATCCTCAGCATGTCAACACAGCGTGACGGAGAGTACCAACATAAGGTCAGTTATACATAAATATATCTCTATACGTGCATTAGGCCAAAGTCAATCAGTTTTATACCTGTTCTATCCAAATAAATAGATGTGTAATTAAAAAAATAATGCATGAACGTAGTTACATTGATAAAATGAGATAACTAGATATACCAATTAGTAAGGTCAGTCTGAGGTAAGATGTTAGTAAGGTCAGTCTGAGGCAAGATGTTAGTAAGATGAGTCTGAGGTAAGATGTAAGGCCAGTCTGAGATAAAATGCAGTCTGAGGTAAGATGATTAGCTATTACCAATGTATGATAAGCTCTCTAAGAATATCCCCAGCCCGAGTTAAGATGATTATCAGTATTGCAAGTCCTTGGTCAAGATCGAGATCAAGATCAAGAGAGTTTAGGTAAAACCCCCATGTGGAGTGTGCGGGGAAGACGGGACAGGTGAAGAATAGCGTTGGAGAGGAGTGTCAACAGGCCTAAAGAAAGTGCTAGCAGCTAATCGCTCGTGGAACAAATTGGAGAAACAGGAGTAGCAGGATCTGTTGTAACGGTCTTGGGATGGTTGGAGGACTTGTCTTGAGAAGCTGGTAGCAGGCTAGGTCGCAAGACAGAGAAGGCAGGTAGGAACATCAGAGGGCAGTTCGCTAGTGGTGTAATTTGAAATGATTGAGGAGGCAGGTTTGTAGAGGAGCCATTTTAATTTTTTTTTTGAAGCTCCTCCTAGAGAGGTAGTAAAGTTTTGTCTTGTTTCTAAAGGTGAAACATAGAGGCTTGAGGAATTCCAGAACTTGGGTAAGTGTGAAGTGAAGAGATGGCTCGCAAGAAAACTTGACATTCCCGGTACTGAGGCCATTGTAGAGCTCAGTGCAGGTCATGGTGTAAGCGTCAGTTGGAGAAGTGTAGAAGGAAAGGTTTCCTCATGAGACGGTGGGTCGGCAGGAAAAGTGGAGAAGTGTATTGGTGGTGTATCAACAGGTTGGGAGTCGGTGGGTGAGGCAGAACAAACAACGTTGTCGGCTGTGGAGGTGGTTGTAGAAGATACAGGAACAGTTGCTTTGCAGAAGGAGACAGGTTTGCAGGTGCAGTAAAGTTCACGACATTGGTAAGGATCTTGAAAATTTAGGCTGAAGATGTGGAATCAGGGAAATTTAAGGCAGTCATGTTGTTCAGATGGAATAGTTCGTTTATGGTGGTGTTGAAAGTTCCGGGGGTTGCTGTATTTGCAAGGTGTGCATACACCATGCAATACAGCACATTGAAGGGAGCACCGTCAGGGAGTGGAGAGAGTGAGTTGCTGAGCGAAGGTGTCTGTAGAGTGGCGTGTAGAATCTTGGTGGTGTCGACTTATAGTTTGGTTATTGCAGCGGTGAATTTGAGGTGTTCTTCTTCAGATCTTTTGTTTTCTTCAATATGATTTCTTTCCTGGGTGGGCACTTAGCTACAAGGATATGATGATTACCCTCGCAGTTAAAACATGTTGGAGCCGTAGTGATGGTGCAGGATTTGAATTCGTGTCCATCATTCCCACATTTTGAACAGAACTTCTTATCCTTGATGGAGCAGTCTTTGGTGATGTAACAGGTCCAGCAAATGGGAGACGTGTGTGAAGCGTTCAGATTCTGAGTGGCTTGGGTGAAGTGATATGAGACATGTGTGAAGTGTTCAGGTTCTGTGTGGCTTGGGTGAAGTGATATGAGATGGCCAGTCCGTCAGAGAGAGCTTAGGCAGCCATGCAGATGTCTGAGAAAGTGATCTTTATCATTGATGAGACGTTAGGGATCTTGGTGATGTTGTCTAACGAGGCCCAAGTGTTTTGTTCCTCGATAGATGTCTTCAGTGCTTCAGTTGAGAGAGGCGTGACGATCTTGTCAAGCCTTTTCACAAAGATGGATCGTTTCGCCCTCAGGAATGGAGAAGGAGATATGGTGAATTGTCGTGTTTGTAGGGTCTTGATTGAAGATTCGTCCATGAGTTTTGATGTTTCAGTGTCGTCAGTACAGACGACAATGAAGCAGTCTTTCAGCGAGTGAATTACCTTGAATTTAACCTACAAGCAGGTCCTTATTGCCGTAGCTATGACCAGCTTGGTAAAGTCATTAATTACTCCTCTTGCTGGTTAGATTATCACACAATGTGACAGCATTGTAAGAAGATGACGCTTGTTGGATATAAATTACCGTCCCAAACGGGGATCGAAAGGAGACATCTTGAGTGTAGAGCGACTGTGTCTTGCCAGTAGCAAGGTCAGCAATGGAATGAAGTCCTTGGTAAGGTATTTAACTGAAATAAGATATTTGATACTGTTACTAAACGTAGTTAAGATGTCTAAGACAATTGGTGGATGTTACTGTTATTTAATGCGTGAATATGTCACCAATCATCCTTTGTGGATTACCTGGAGTTTACCTGGAGAGAGTTCCGGGGGATGGTACCAAAATCAACATGAAAGTCGCCTTATCAGAAGTGACCGAAAAATTACAAGAAATATAGACAAATATAAGCAATGAAAAATAACATAATGTTCAGTGGTGACTAATTCCATATGCTAAGTAAAGGAAAGAATAATGAGTGCAAAATTTATATAAAATACAAAATACAGGAAGACCATCTCAAAGAACCATAAGAGCATGTGAAAGACTTGGTGATTATATTGTGAGATGAACTATTAGTTACAGAACACAATAATCCAAATACAGTAAATGCGAGATAAATAACGAGAACCTTTTATATTAATAAAATAAGACCAATTATCATTCTATTTGGAACACACCAAAGTACTTTGAATATACTCACTGAAATGGAGAAAATTTTCCTGATAATATATATCTGAAAAGTGCAGGAAGGCCACCTTCATAAGAGATTGCGAGACAGATACTGTAAGAAGTATAAAATAAACCTTGTGAGAAGTAGGTGACACACTGGCACAGTAAAAGAAACATGAAGCATCATATATGGCCCAAGATTCTTCAGCCTCCTTTCAGTAGATTACTTGAACAAATGTAGATAACTTCAAGAGAAAACTTGACCTCTACTTCCTCCAAATGCACGATTAACCAGGCTGTGTACTTCCGTAGCTGTGCGATCCAAGGCGTCCCCGTGTTTCATAACACGAGCGCCTTCTACATGAAAGTATCTGAGTGAAATAATGCGGCAAAAGTTGTTAAACTTGTTAAGTATTTGCTCTTAGGATATGAAGGGAGTCAAAACATCGTTCACAAGTCATCATATGGAAGCTAAATTCTAAATTTATTCAATAAACATATTAAATTTGGACATACACAACCCAGATCAAATTCGAACCTTTCAAAGAAATCATTATATTAAAACACAAGGACAGTAAGCTTGAAGTCGCTCAAAACTTTTATCAAGTTATCTGCAGAAAAGTGTGCAGCTGATCGAATTCGACACTGAAAAAAAATATCACATTAAAAGTAGAAAATAAATTTTTCGAATTTCTTCCAGAAAAGCCATTTGGGACCTAAACAGACGAAAATCAATCCAACCTTTTCTCTGAGTAAGACTGACCACCTTCAAGAAAGTAATTACTGAAAGTAAGTTTTATGTAAGCTTTGAAAACATATCCTGCAGTTTTGTTAACAATGGTCTCGAGGGCATGCAGTTGTTGAGTTAACCTACGATAACCAAATTAAATGAAACACTATGACTAATTTCTGATCAGAAGAAATATTCTTCAATTATTCCAGAGAGACCAATTTGATGAATAAAACTGGCACATTGTAACTTACTCAACCTAACATCAAAAAATTGCTTCCACTGATGGAAACAGATCAGTAGTTAGTTTAAACTGACCAGAAGATGTATTTTCCAGTTATTGCACAGAATGCAACAACAGTCCTTATCCCATAATATGCTTCATCCATGTCATATGATGTAACAACTAATGAAGACTGATGCAGTTTACAATTATTATATTTGAATTAGGGAAAAGCAATAAGTCCTGGGGAGTCATATAGCTCCTGGGGAATAAAAAGTATTCAAATTCGATCCAATCAAGGGAAAGATAAATCCAGTTTCTTGCGCCAAGTATCACTAGTATCAAGGTAAAATAATGCAAAAGAGTAAAATAATATTAAACTTTTTTTATATTAAAAGTGGCAAAATGGCATCAACACACTCCATTAAACCTGCCAACCTTCTTCTAAGCAGAATAAACCATTCTTAAAACTCTGAAGCTGATCAGAAGAGCCGTATTAAAACCAGTCGTCGCACGGAAGCTTATTTAAGGTACCCACTCAAGCAACTAATCCCATGAAGCATGCCATAGATACATTACACCAGTACTGAAAAATTCCAGCTGACCGAGCAAGACAATCTCTGGTAATGAACACAAATTTCTGAGAAAGTAAACGAAAATATTTCAGAGAATATGAATGTTTTCCATAACTAATATTACAATCTCTTATCAAGATGATGCACAACATATCTCAAATTCGTGTTCTGGAATGTATAAAATCGACACTTTTATAATCCAGAATATTGTTCATGATCTTAAAGGTAAAAATATTTTTCACAAAAATACTGAGTGTGTTCTTTATCAGGCGAAGAATTTAATTTGATGTAGGATAAATGAGTGAGTGGGTTCCATTAAGGTCATAACAGAGCATGAAGTAGACGACACTCTACCTTCCCAAGATCCATCGTGTTGACAGAAGTTTTAAATTTACAATTTTCAGGAAGTCAACCAATGTGTCATTATACATTCACTATTATTCAAATCATGAGTCTAGGGCTAAAAGTGGTGTTTTCTTTACAATGTCCTTGAGAGCCTTGCGTATCTGCGGCCTTGAGTATTTAGAAAAAGAAATCAATAAGATATTTAGCATACCCACAAAACTGAGATATCCCTGAGATTCTGTTGAGAAAGCCCTACTGTTAACTAGGAAAACTTTCTGCAGGACTGAACCTAAATAAACGCCTTCCATGAAAAATATACTGATTTTACCCTACAGTGAGAATTTGGTCAGCCTGTGTGAGGCACAAACAGTTCAGTATAAATATTGCCTTCGAAAACAATGGGACACTGAAACAGAAACTGATTAAGAACACACCGTCTAATAGTGTGGGTGGTGTTTACAAGGTCCCATGCACTCTGCCCTCTTTCATATATTGGACAAACTAGTAAACCACTGGAAAATAGATTAGCCCAACATCTGTAGTCAGTTAGGACGGGCCAGGAGTCGAATGCTATCTTCAGCCTTGTCAGTTCTTGCAATCACCCAACGGGGGTGTGCAGTTGCCCAGATGTTTGTACCCAACAGTTCCATCATGGAAAGAAACTTATTTGTATCCTTGCTCTTGAAACATGATAGGAATGCCTTATATAATTCAAGTTATGGGTTGTACAAACTCTATAGCCAAGCAAAAGTGCTATTCAGAATCGCAGAATTGGTTATTATGCCACAGGACCTCATGAGGATTTTGTGACGTTAGACCAGCTTTCTCCGCACCTATTCTGCATGTTTCGCCCTACGTGAACGTGCCTTGCCCATCGGTATAATATATAACCAATAGTAGTAAACCTATTTAGGTACAGCTGCGTAAAGGTTCCACATGGTTACAGGTACACAAGGCTAAATGACTGCGATGTGACTGCAACTTGGTGATTGCAACTAACTTAGGGGATTACACCCCAAGAGGGTTAGACTGTTAGGTAACGATAAAGGATAATCAGAAAATTCATGAAGAATCCGGTTATTAGGTTACAAAGAATAATTTGAATAATAAGGAAGATTCATGGATAACCAAGAAGCAGTCATAATAATTGATACTGAGGATATCGGAAGGCAGTATGTAGGTTATCATTATGGTCAAGAAGCAAAGCATATTAACAGTTATAGTCCAGTATTTTCACGTAACAATGGTCATGGTTTAGCAACAAAATAAAATGATTGTCATGGTCCAGAAGCACCACAAGATGACAAGGTTGAGCTGGAGCACATATTGACTATTATGATTCAGTAGCAACTTTACATAATGACTCAGAAATATTTGCTAGTATTATGAGTGATCCTGATTGTACCTGGTATGTTAGTTTTTTTATTTAAATTATATAGATATGCATTATCTTGCATGTTCTGGTTAGAATGTCAATATTTAGAATTATGTTTATCACCAATATATTTTACCATGAATAATATGATTATTTATTCATTATGTATTTTGATTTTCTGAACAATTTAGATTAATTTGGACATTACTCTACCTAGCAGCTCTGCACGAGACTGCACAGATATTCAGCTGGAAGGTGAGACTCAGAGTGGCGTCTATCAAATCTTCCCTGAGAGGTAAGTTGTTTCTTGAGTCTCGGTATTGATATTTGACCTCTTGACAACGATGTTTGTAATTTAATTTGTTGTTGAGCTCTGTCAGTATTTATTCATTCTCGTTCTTTCAACAGATAAAAGCATAACCTCACCTTCTTGTCTTCATCCACGAAAGTTGTTAAAATCATCAGTACAAGCTGAATGGACATAAATTCGTTAGAAAACATTCAGCGTAGGATGACTAAATTAATACATAGCATTAGAAATCTTCCTTATGAAGAAAGATTGAAGACTCTTAAGTTACATTCACTTGTTAGATGAAGAATGAGGGGAGACCTGATCGAAGTGTATAAGTGGAAGATAGGTATTAATAAAGGGGATATTAACAAGGTCTTGAGGATATCTCTCCAAGAGAGAACCCGCAGTAATGGATTTAAATTAGATAAGTTTAGATTTAGAAAGGACATAGGAAAGTATTGGTTTGGAAATAGGGTAGTGAAGACCTGTTTGTGTGCAGGTGAAGACCTGTTTGTGTGCGTGAAGACCTGTTTGTGTGTCGTGAAGACCTGTTTGTGTGCTCTTGAGTGGTGACTGTACTTTGAGTGCTGTGAAGAAGTGTCTTGTTTGCTCCCGTGGACTGAACCAAGATGCCCTCCATCGAGCAACTTTACCAGCAACTTAAGGAAGAATTGAGGGCAGCGAAGATGGAGATACGGCGATTGACCGAGGAAAACAAGAGGATTCGTAGTAGTCCTCCTGTTTCGAGTCCTCAGGTCAAGAAGGGATCGTGGTCAGTGGCTGGACAGCAGGGGACGACGAAGTTGACGATCAAGAAGACGAATGGAAAGCCAGAAACGATGAAGAAGAAAGAGACTGCTGTGGAAACTCCCGTGGAAACCTCCAACGCATTCTCGGTGCTACCCGACGAATGTGAGTCTACTACTGGGATCGTCACGACGAACTACAACAAGGAAGGTAAGAATATTGTTGTTGTTGGGGATAGCCAGGTTAGATACATGGATAGGGCATTCTGCTTGAAGGACAGGAGTAGGAGACAAAGGGTATGCTTTCCTGGGGCTGGGATGGAGGACATTGTTAGCCGGCTTGACAACATCATGAACGTAATGGGATCAATCCTATTATTTGCCTCAGTGCTGGAGGCAATGATGTAGGCAAGCGTAGAAGTGAGGATTTAGTTAGAAAGTTCAGGACAGCTATAGACATGATTAGGAAGAAGGGGGGGCGCCCTGTTATATGTGGCATTTTGCCAAGAAGAGGTGTTGGTAATGAATGGTTGTCCAGAGCAATTGGTGTCAATTGCTGGCTGGACAAATACTGTAAGGAAAATGCGGTGACATTCATTGACAACTGGGACCTCTTCTTTGGCAGAAATGACATGTATGCCAGGGATGGGGTTCACTTATCTAGGTGTGGGATGGGAGCACTGGCCAACGCAGTGGAGGGAGCTGTTAGGTCTTTAAACTAGGAATAGTTAGTGGTATGGGTTTCTGCCGGAAAACTGTGAAGTCTCAGGGTAGTAATATGAGTACTAGGAGAACTAGTAATAGGCAAAATGAGGTGGATATCGGAAAGCCAGTGGCACTAATTGACAAGGACAGTAATAGGTTTAGTGGAATAACAGAAAGGAGCAGGAATGATAAAGAGAAAGGAGGGTCCTTAAGTATATATTACACAAATAGTCGCAGTGTAGGAATAAGATGGACGAGTTGAGACTAGTTGCTAGTGCAGGTAACATAGATGTATTTGCCATTACTGAGACGTGGTTTAATTCAAAAAGTCGGGACAGCTGCAGAATGTCACATTCAGGGTTTCAAATTGTTCCAAGTAGATAGAAGTATCGGGAAGGGAGGTGGGGTGGCATTGTATGTCCGAGATCGCTTGAACTGTTGCATTAAAACGGGTATTAAGTCTGAAGTAACACATACAGAGTCTGTTTGGATAGAATTTTCAGAGGGGCATGAAAAATTAACTTTAGGTGTGATATACCGTCCCCAAATTTAGATAGGGACCAGGGAAGACTACTATGGGAGGAAATTGTTAGGGCCACAAGGCACGATAATGTAGTAATTCTAGGAGACTTTAACTTTAGTCATATTGATTGGAATTTCTTGACTGGGAATTTAGAATCATACGACTTCTTAGAAGTAGTTCAGGATTGTTTTCTGAAGCAGTTTGTGACAGAACCCTACAAGGGGTAATAACCTGCTTGATTTTAGTCTGGCAAAAAAAGAATCCCTTGTTAATAATTTAGAAGTTTCAAAAAGAACTGGGTGCTAGCGACCACAAATCAATTACATTTAGAATTGAATGGAAGAAATGATAGTAGGGATAACCAGTAACAGTCCAGATTTTCGCTTAGCAGATTACGATGGGCTTAGAGAACACTTATCATCTGTTGACTGGGGTAACGAAGAGAGCTATCAATATGACAGTTTTCTGAACACAATACATGCTGCCAAAGAACATTTATCCCTTATAAAGAAATTAGATCAAATAGAAATGATCCAAAATGGATGAATAATAGGCTGAAATATCTACTAGGGCATAAAAAAGGGAAATTTTATAGGCGTATCAAAAGAGGCCGAGGGTCTCTTATGAATCAGTATATTGACACTAAGAGGGACATTAAAAGGGATAAGAAAAGCAAAAAGGGGACTAGAAATTAAAGTTGCTGGGGATTCTAAAACTAACCCAAAAATTTTTTTCCCAGGTATATAGAACAAAAGTCAAGATAAGATAGGTCCCCTTAAAAATAACTATGGGCATCTTACTGACAAAGAGAATGAAATGTGCTCGATTTTAAATAATTATTTTCTCTGGGTTTTTACACAGGAAGACACTAATAATTCCGGAAATTTTAATTTTATAGTGGATCAGAAGAAGATTAATTTTGTAACATCACAGTCACTAGTTTAAATGGTTGTGAAGCAGATAGACAGACTGAAGCAAATAAGTCACCTGGTCCTGATGAGGTTTTTTTAAGGTTCTAAAGGAATGCAAAATGGAAGTCTGTGAACCATTAACTAATATTTTAATTTATCTCTTCAAACAGGGGGCAGTGTTGTTTTTGGAAGTGGCTAATGTAATTCCTATTTTTAAAACTGGGGACCCAAATCGTTACCGTCAAATTACCGCCAATAAGCCTGACCTCAATTGTAGGCAAATTACTAGAGTCAATTATAGCTGAGATTATAAGAAGCCATCTCGAAAAAGCATAGCTTGATTAATGAAAACTCAGCATGGATTCACAAGAGGCCGGTTTTTGTTTAACTAATTTTTTAACTTTTTTCAGTAAAGCTTTTGAGGCTGTTGACCACGACAAAGAATTTGATATTATTTACTTAGATTTTAGTAAGGCATTTGATAGAGTTCCGCACCAAAGACTGTTGAAGAAAATAGCAGCTCATGGCATTGGGGAAGGTGCTCTCGTGGATCGAATCATGGCTCACAGACAGGAAGCAAAGAGTGTCCATAAATGGGGTTAAATCCGAGTGGGATCAGTAACAAGGGCGTTCCACAGGGATCAGTCTTGGGCCCGTTGTTGTTTATAATATATATCAATGATCTTGATGAAGGAATTACTAGTGATATGAGCAAATTCGCTGATACACGAAGATAGGTAGGATAATTGATTCAACGTAGATGTTAGGGAACTTCAGGAGGATTTAGACAAACTCTACTCTTGGTCAGAAAAGTGGCAGATGCAGTTCAATGTAGATAAATGCAAGGTTCTGAAGCTCGGGAGTGTCCATACCCTAGCACTTATAAGTTAAATAATGTAAATTAAGCATACAGATTGCGAAAAGGACTTGGGGGTTATGGTAAGCAGAAACCCTTTAAAACCAAGACAGCAATGCCTAAGCGTACGTAATAAGGCAAAATAGATTATGGGATTTATATCAAGAAGTGTAAGCAACAGAAGCCCAGAGGTCATACTGCAGCTTTATACATCATTAGTAAGGCCTCACCTAGATTATGCAGCTCAATTCTGGTCTCCATATTACAGAATGGACATAAATTCGTTAGAAAACTTCAGCGTAGGATGACAAAATTTAATACATAGCATTAGAAATCTTCCTTATGAAGAAAGATTGAAGACACTTAAGTTACATTCACTTGTTAACGAAGAATGAGGGGAGACCTGATCGAAGTGTATAAGTGGAAGATAGGTATTAATAAAGGGGATTTTAAAAAAAGGTCTTGAGGATATCTCTCCAAGAGAGAACCGCAGTAATGGATTTAAATTAGATAAGTTTAGATTTAGAAAGGACATAGGAAAGTATTGGTTTGGAAATAGGGTAGTTGATGAGTGGAACAGTCTACCTAGTTGGGTTATTGAGGCTAGGACTTTGGGTAGTTTCAAATTTAGGTTGGATAAGTACATGAGTGGGAGGGGTTGGATTTGAGTGGGACTTGCACATCAGAGCTTATTTCTTGGGTAGCATTGAAAATTGGGTTGGTCAAATGTTTGTTAGTGGGATGAATTGTAAAGGACCTGCCTAGTATGGGCCAACAGGCCTGCTGCAGTGTTCCTCCTTTCTTATGTTCTTATGTTGATGAGTGGAACAGTCTACCTAGTTGGGTTATTGAGGCTAAGACTTTGGGTAGTTTCAAATTTAGGTTGGATAAGTACATGAGTGGGAGGGGTTGGATTTGAGTGGGACTTGCACATCAGAGCTTATTTCTTGGGTAGCATTGAAAATTGGGTTGGTCAAATGTTTGTTAGTGGGATGAATTGTAAAGGACCTGCCTGGCAATATAAACACAAATGCAGTATAATGTGATCCTTTATTGACTACGTTTCGCCCACACAGTGGGCTTTTTCAAGTCACAAACAGAACTACCTGGGGTGGAAGGAACGCGAGTATTTATAGTCCGGCTGAGGTCAGGTGAAGAATGCTGCATCTGATGATGTACCGAGTTGGGTTGTAGAGTCTAAAAACTTGGGTAGCTTGGAAAGGAGACTGGACAAGTTTGTGAGCAGACCCTCTACAGTGTTC